ATCGAGCCCCCCGGTGCTGCCCATGGCACCGGAACTACTCTGGGGGGTACCCTCCGCCAGTTATCCCAGAGTGCGCCTGCTGCATTGGGGGGCCCAGATGGATGATCACCTTGGAACGGTTCCGGGATGATTTTCCATCTGGGGCGCTTTCGAGATTCTTGTGCGAGGAACCCAGCTGGGAGAAAAGGCTCCCAAAGAAGATTTTTGATCTGGAGAATTATATATATATATATATATATATATATATATTAATACATACACATATCTGGCCGGGGACACCTGCCCACACATATCCCCGAGAGCGCTTGCTGTACTTAGAGACGGCCCAGAAGGAAAATCATCCTGGAACGGTTCCAGGGTGATTTCTTCCAATCTGGGGCGCTTACGAGACTCAGCTATGGGAACCATCCGAGAGAATTGGCTCCCCAATCAGAGATCTCTCTTGGAAAATGACAACGTCTGGGGCTCAGGTGCACCCTCCCCGAGAGCGCCTGCTGCATTGGAGGCGGCCCAGATAGAGAATCACCGTGGAACGGTTTCAGTGTTGTTTTCCATTTGGGGCATCTCCGAGATTCAGTGGTGGGGCCCAGCCGAGAGACTCGGTTCCCCAGTGAGAGACCCCATTTGGACATTGGCTTACTTTGTTTTATTTGGCTTGGGCACGCACACGCACACAGTTATCCCCGAGAGTGCCTGTTGCATTGGAGCCGGCCCAGATGAAAGGTCACCCTGGAGCGGTTCCGGGGTGATGCTCCGTGCGGGGAGCTTCCGAGACGCAGTTGTGGGGGGGGGGGCCAGCCGGGAGGCAAGGCTCCCCAACAAGAGATCTGATGGGGAAAATTCAGGAAGGAAAAAACACACAGACACAATTAATCCTCGACTCCCCAGAAAATATAGGAAAATATGGTGATTGGGCGGGAAGACAGAAACCCAGAAAATATTAGAAAATATAGGGAATCCTTTCATTTGTGTGTATTTATTTGTGCGTCCTTGGTCCCCTTGAAAAATGATGATTTGGGGGGTTCGGGTACACCCGCCGCTGATCCCCGAGATCGCCTGCTGCATTTGGGGGGCCCAGATGGCAGATCACCCTGGAACGGTTCGGGGGTGATTTTCCATCTGGGGCTGCTTCCGACAACCAGTTGCATGGGGCAGAGCCGAGAGAAAAGGCTCCCCCAAAACAGACTTCAGATCTCGGGTATACTTACCCAGTTGTCCTCGAAATCGCCTGCTGCATTGGGGGGAGGCCAGACGAAACATCACCCTGGAACGGGTCCGTGTTCTTTTAATTTGGGGCGCTTCCGAGATTCAGTTGTGGGGCTCAGACGAGAAAAAAAGCACCCAAATACGATAGTGTATTTGGAACATGAAAAGTGGTTGGGCTCGGGTACAACCCCACTTACTCCCGAGAGCGCCGCTGCAATTGGGGAGAGGCAGATGGAAAATCACCCCGGAACGGTTCCGTGCTTTTTTTTCAATTTGGGGCGCTTCCGACAATCAGCTGCGTAGGGCTCAGCCGGAGAAAAAGGCTCCCAAAGAAATTGCATTTGGAAAATGGCGATTCTTGGGGCTCGAGTACCCCCCCACTTACTCCCGAGCGCACCGCTGGTTGGGCGGGGGCCCAGATGAAAAATCGTCCTTGATCAGTTCCAGGGGGATTTTCCATCTGGGGCGCTTCCGAGATGCAGCTGTGGGGCCCAGCAGAGAGAAAAGGCTCCCAAATAAGAGATTGCATTTGGAATGGCGATTTCTTCGGCTCGAGTACACCCTCAGTTGTCCCCGAGAGCGCCTGCTGCATTGTAGGCGTCCCAGATGGAAAATCACCCTCGAACGGTTCCAGTGTGATTTCCAATTTGAGGCTTTCCAAAATTCTGTTGTGGGGCCCAGCCGAGAGAAAAAACCCAAATAAGAGATTGCATTTGGAAAACGACGTTGTGGGCTCGGGTACACGCCAAGTTATTCCCGAAAGCGCCGTTGCATTGGGGGGAGGCAGATGGAAAATCACCCTGGAACGGATCCAGGGTGATGTTCCATCTGGGGCGTTTCCGAGACTCAGCTGTGGAGCCTAGCCGAGCGAAAAGGCTCCCCAACAAAAGGTCTTATCTGGAATGAGATAACTTTTGGGGCTTGGGTTCACCGCCCACTGATCCGCGAGAGCACCTGCTGCATTGGGGGGTCCCAGACGGAGAATCACCGTGGAACGGTTCCAGAGTGATTTTCCATCTGGAGCGCTTGCGAAACTCAGCTGTGGGGCCCAGCCGAGAGAATTGGCTCCCCATTAAGGGACTGTGCACACACAGTTATCCCCGAGAGTGCCTGCTGCATTGGAGGCGGCTCACGTGAAAAGTCACCCTGGAACGCTTCTGGTGTGACTTTCCACCTGGGGCGCTCCCGGGTGCAGCAGGCGCTCTCGGGAATAATTGATGGCGCGTAGCCGAGCCCCCGAAGTTGTTATTCTCCAGATTTCCTCCTCCTCCTCCTCCCCCTCCTCCTCCTCCTCCTCCTCCTCCTCCCCCTCCTCCTCCTCCTCCTCCCCCTCCTCCCCCTCCAGATATCTTCTCGGGAGCCTTCTTCATCGGATTGGCCTCCCGGCTGGATCTGAAGGGCAGGGCCAGATGGAAAAGTCACTTCTGGAACGGCGGCCTCGTGAGGCTCCCGAGAGCGGCCCGGATGGAAAATCACCCGCGTCAGGTTCCAGTAACCACCCCTAAATTGTTTAAAACGACCTCATCCTCCTCCTCCTCCTCCTCCTCCTCCTCCTCCTCCTCCTCCTCCCCCTCCTCCTCCCCCTCCTCCTCCTCCTCCTACCCGAGTCGATTCGATTCGATTCGCCGGCTGGGGCCCCGATCCCGATTCGATGCGATCCGGCTCTGCGCACCGGCATCGGCCCGGGCCAGTAAAACGACGCGAAGATCGGGACAAAATCGGATCGGGATAACTCGAAATCTCTGAGAACCGGCGGGTATGGAGGATGTATTTTGGGCGCCGCGGCCCCTCCAGAGCGTTCCGGAACGCTCCGAGAGGGCGCTCCGGAACGCTCTGGAGCGGTTTGTCCCGATCCTAGACCTGTTTTACCCGAAGCGGGTGGATGCCTAGCAGGACTCCGCCGTAGCCATCTCGGCTCAAGCCACGTTGGCTCAGGATCGCATCCTGGTTCAGCATGGCGCCCTGGCTCCGGATCGCGTCCTGCGTGCGGCTGGCCGCAGGGGGCGGCGAGGGCATGGCCGAGGTGGCGGCCTCGGGGCGGTGCCGCGATGCTGGTGCAAATCACGAAGATCTGATCAAGCTCGTGTGGCTGATTCTGCGTGTAATCCTTTTACTCGCCTT